CGTGAAAGTCGGGGGAGTTACAAAACGCTCTGACGACCTCTTTCCGGTAGGCATTGAGGAAGACGGAGTGCATTGGTGACTTGAGGAAAGACTTACGTCCTTCCTCCTTCCCAAGCTCCCTCTTAGCCACATTATCCTCGGTGGCCTTGGCAAGGTCAACGCGCAGCCGGTCGACTTTGGAAAGGCCGGCTGCCTTCTCCGATTTGAGCTTCGTAATAAAGGCATTGGCCGCCACGAGATCATCACTCTTTTGCTCGAGTTCATGGAGCTGTTCTGCGTACTTCTTTTTATAAGCATAGACATTAGAGTTAGGCGAGCTAGACTCCTCAAGAAGAGTGGGCATCACATAAGCCATGAACTGAAAGGAAAGTCCAGAAAAATCGGTGTAAGACAAAAACGAGAATAAGAAAAATAATCAACTAAAGAAGAAGTCAAGAACACTTACCCGAGAAAAGCACAGTAGAGCACGGCCGGCACGGTCGTAAGGGTCGCGGTCGGCACGAGCTTTGTCGGCAGCAGGGATGACATAATCCAAGTATTTGGCAATTTCATGAGAATGGGGATGATCCCAAAGTCGGGAAGGCCGCTCAAGGGTCACCGTCTCGAGGGCGCCGGGAGAGCGGGGAGCCTCAATCGATTTCCCCTTGTCCTGAATTTTTAGGCGCTTGGACGAGTCGGCCATCTGCTTGGGGTCGACCTCGTCTGATCCCCTTTTCTTGTTCTTAGGGCCAAGAGTTTTCTGCGGCAACGAAGAGGGGATGACCACCTTCGACTTCCTAGCGACCGTCACCTCGACTACCACCTTCTTCACCCCAGATCCAGAGCCGTCGTCGACTCTCGCAGAGGGAACGAGTTATCTGGCGGACATTTCACCGCCCTTCGCCTTCTTGGTCTCGAAGCGTTGCAGAGCCTTAACTAAAACACACAATAGATAATTAGTTGGTTAAGAGTCGTCGTGGTAATCGGCGTCACAATATAGCTTGGAGTAATAAAAGAAAAAGCGAGAGACGCTTAAGTGAATGAAACATGTGGGCTTACTGGGATCGTCAACTTGAGGGGCATCTTCGTCAATCCAAAGGCCCACATGATTAAGGAGAACACTATCCTTAACCAGCAGACGAGCACTCTACCTAAACTTATTTAGATCGTCTAGCATGGTTTGAAACTCATTTGACAGAGGGCGTTTAAGGTCTTTCTAAACTTTCGAAGTGATCCAGATATTGGAAAAGGGATATTGACCGGGAGCAGGACGAATATAGAAGTATTTGGTCTTCCACTCGGTAACATTGGAGGAAAGATCCTCGAGGAAAGAAACACCAGGACGACGACAAAGATAGTGGGCCTCATTTAAGAAGCGATAGCTATAGCAATACAGAAGGAACTCAGGCAAAAAATGACCTAACTTTATTTACAGATTATGATGAAGGCTACAGTAATGCGAATGGGATTAGGAGAAAACTGATTTATGGGTACATTGTACAGGTTGCTAATCAACAAAAGCTCAGGTTGAATAGGAAACCGCAAGCTGAACATTATTTTCTCGACGAAGAAAGTGAAGCAACCCATAGGAGGATGAGTAAAGACATCGTTGGGACCAGGGGGAAACAACTCCCAGTCAGAAGCAAGCCGCTGAACGGGCCTAAATCCCTCGATTTGGGCTGCAGAGGCATAAGAAAAGGGATTTAAAATAGCCACTTTAGCCAAGGAAAATTCTACTGATACAACATTTCGAGGATCATTAGGAAGAGCAATTAAAGGTACAGGAACTGGACTAGTTCTATATACAAGGATGTCTAGCAGTTTGAAAGGAGTACCTCGAAGAAAGGGGTCGAGACGAGGAGTTTCCCCTCGGGAGGGATTTTCTGAAAGATCTACCAAACCACCCTCTAAAAGGGCTTGTTCATATTCATCCCAGTCGATACGTGGAGCAAGGACGTGGGAAGAGGAAGATGGGGGGGATACATTAGCCACTCTGTACCCCACTAGTTGCACCGAGTCAGACATTTGAGGGCTCTTGTCAATCAAGCGCTCCATGGTACCGAGAGAGGAGCCAAAGCCGAAATCTAAAAAAAGAAGAGGGGAAGGTCGAAATTAGTAAAGTGTGGAACAAACTAACATGGAGGAGATTAAAAACGAGTCAAGAGGCGAGGATGAAGGAAAGTTTGAGAGAATCACTCCCAGGTCGACCAAATCTTAGATCTGGGTCGACTTACTGAATGAAAGATCAACAAAGTCTATGAAGATATGCGAAGAGGAAAAGAAGTTCTGCGTCGAGTCAAGCCACCGATAAACAAAAATTTGAGGGCTATACCTAAGCATGAAAGATTTAACATAGAAAGTTACCCAAATTCATCTGAAATTTCTTAAGAACACGAAGAACATGCATAAACCCAAACCCAAAAACCCAAAAAGTTAACATAACCTCTTTCAGAAATAAGGAGTACGGGGAACTTACACATGTTGACTGGGGTAAAGAGTTCTGAGAAGGGAGAGTTCAGGGAGAGAGAATCGCAAAAAGTGAAGAAAGAGAAAAATGAAAGATACTTACAAGACAGTTAATGAAGCCCTAGCCCCGCGATTAAAGAAGAAATCAATGGTCAAGATAAGACACGGAATTCGAAGCGGCAAAAGTAGGATGGAGGCGGTGAGTCACATCCCACTTACGAAAATTGAAATTTAAAGAAGGAGGACAAAGGACCATGTTTCTGAAAAATTCTAAGTGCAAGCTTCTACTATAGACCAGGTCAAATAAAATAAATCGTTGACATGTAGAGTTAAAAATAAAGATGAGACGACTCATCAGTAGGAAGCAGAGGACCTAGCTACCAAATTTACTCTTAAGCTCGAAATCGCTTAGAGTAATTTTTTGAGGGGACTAGATGATATAGCCCCGCTATTATAAGCGCAATTCAAAGGCTAATTACTCGCCAAGGCAAACACTGCAGACGACATCGCTTAGTCGACATCTCTGAACTCGACTTGACCCATCGGCCATTCAAAGACCATCGTCGGTCCAATAACGGACTCAAGAAAACTTTAGGTAGTCGATTGGGAGTAAGACGACTTCTCTTAGGAAGACGAGCAGGCATTCCAAGAGCCCCAGATACATATGTAACCTTAAATCGACTCGGCAAGGCCTCAAGTCGATTTATAAGACCTTCGACGACTTGATACACTTAGTTGCAACATATGGAGGATCTCCAAGTGAGTAAGTTCACACAGGATAAGACGGAATCTAGATGTTGACTCAGGAGTGGGCAGAATGCGAACCGACTAGGGCATTTTGGACACTTCGTGTAAGTCGGCCAGGGAATTTTAGGTACTTCAAGTAAATGTTTCTACTCCTATATAAAGGAGCTGAGGTAACTCCAAACCCTAACTTTCATTCTCTCCATTCATTCTTCAGCTGCTGCTCCTACTGAGCGGAGCTCATATTCTTCTCCTTCACTAACTTGAGCGTCGGAGGCTCTTAACCGGAAACACTTCCGGTGTTTAGTTCTTGGAGGTGTTTGCAGCGGTTCACAGACGATTTGGAGGTAATTCAAATAGATCGGAGCTTATTTCCACCGGTTCACTCCAGATCTAGGAGAAGACCCATCAGACTATATCTGCAACATCGCGAACCAAACATACCTCTGATATGATAAACACATCACAACCTAAACATACATCAAATACGATAGAAGCACATCACAACCTAAGCATACATCTAATATGATAGAAACACATCACAACCTAAGCATACATCTAATATCATAGTACACATCACAAAGGCGTATACATAATTGTACTGTCTATAACGGCTGCTCAACTGACTGCTTAACTGGCGAGAAGGAAACTTGGTCTTCACGCTCGTGATAAGCAACTGTATGACCTAATCTGTATGTTGTTGCCACTTACTAGGGCAAAACTAACTCTTATGCACTACAAAGGTTGGAGGTTAACTCACAACTGCACTAGAGTCCTTGATACTAACTGAGATGAGAAACACTTGATTACGAAAAACCTATCTATAGGTCAAAGCCCTTCAGGGAAGAATTGTTCTAACCTCGTCTAAAATTCTACTTAACTCAAAGTTGCACTAGAATTCTTATCTCATCTAGACTAGCGTTCGTTGCACTTAGCTCAAAAGGATCTACTCGCTGGGTAATTTCCCCTATTCGGGCAAACTCTTACATACATACCTCAGCCAGGATAGTGCGATTATAGAAGATGTAATACCCGGTACATGGTCCCCACCTGATATGCTGAAATGCAAGTATTGAATGGTTTGCAACTGTCGTAGGCTTGACTCTCTACAAGCTACACAATATATAAGCACAAAATATATTCTAAGTATTTGAGGAGCCGTATGAGGTGAAAATCTCATGTACGGCTCTGAAGGATATCTTTCTAAAAATCATTTTGATGAAGCTATTTCAACCCATCAGCAGAGAAGGAATGCATATGAAGTCCTACTCAATTTATGGTGTGATCTATCATTCGATCCGATCCGGAGGACTTCCTACTCATTGACCAAACTACCCAACCCGGTTTTCCAATCTAGGTCTTAAACTTTAAACTCAAATTATATTATCTGAGTCGTTAGGTTCCCTCAGTCAGCTTTAAAAATCAAGTTAGGGATTTGAAATTTATTCTAAAGTACTTAAAATCTGAAAATTCGAATCATATTATTCTTATGTAATTATTCTTAAGTACTTATTCTTAAGTACTTAAACTGAAAACTCGAATTATAAGCACAAAATATATACTTAAGTACATATTTTGAAATTTTATTGTCTTTGAGGCATTATAGAATACTCTGAAATATTTCTAAGTCTGGAACTATAATCTGAATTAATCTAATCTGACTGACAACTTAAGCATATCTGAATCTTAAATCTATCTGAACTCTTAACTATATTTGAAATCTTAATCTGATTGGATTTGAAATTTAGCTGCAAAATATCTAAAATTCGATCTGAAATATATATCTGAGATTTCTATAGTCTTCTTCTTCCCTGCCTTCGTCTTTTATATTTAAGCTGTAACACCCCGACTTTCTAATACATCAGAGTACGCCATTTTCGCAAATTTTCTGAATAAGTAAATAAAATGCTTATTTTGCGAAAGCTGATTCGGGGGCTACCCTGAAAACATGACTTCTGAAAACTGTTAGAATTTAAAACTGATACATAAAATGGTTATAATTTATTATCCGACTAACGTCGGAGCAAAGTCTGAAGGTTTTAGCGGAAGTCTAGCGTGGCAAAAACATAAAAGTCTGATAACAAGTACTGAAAAGTTTTAGCG